CAACCAAATGTATAAAAAACATTCTATTGAATTAGAATATTCCTTACTGTTATTCTTGCTACAAAATACTGCTAGCTTGAGTTTCCAACTCTATGCTGGAGAATCTCTTAAGTTATTTTATGAATAATCCCCTAATTATTATTTCACTAATCATTTTGTGTCCATAACTGGAGTCTTGACACCACTATAAATACGAGTACAGAAATAACAGCCTAATAAGACAATCTATTGTAATTGGAAACTGAATTCTAGAAAACATCTTGCATTTAGAAGAGAAGCATTTTTTTTGCAGAAAGAAACAACATCAGTGGATAATTGTAAGCTCTATGGTATTATATGTTTATGTGTAGATTTTCAGAAACATTTTTTTTAACGTTCCACATGTCAGAGAATAATCCTCAAACTAAAATCTGCAGGCATCTATGCAAATATTGTATGAGATGTGCAAACAATACAAAAGGACTGAAACACTATTCAGAACTAGGTCGAAACATGGCAAATTAAATTTTATGCAAGAAATGCAATAGAAACAACAAATCAGCAGTTTCAAACTAGGAGACAAAGTATATCAGAAAGATGTAAGAGCTTATCTGCATTCACCCACAAAACCTAAAACAAATGGGTTAAATAAAATGGATAGATAATAGAGATTTTATCTGTTTTACAAGGCTTAGCAAACCCACTGAGATGCTAAGGAGTTAAGCACAATGAGGACTTAAAGAAGACAGAGAGAAAGCGTAAAAAAATGGTAATGTCAGACAATATTGAGCAATCTTGGAGCAAAGTGACAAGATCAGTGGCCACTCTTGTCAGGTAGCTTGCCTGCAGGAACTAAAACTAAAACAAATGCCTAATGATCCTTTTCAGTCGATTTAGTACAAAAGGTGTCAGGAGGTCAGAAAGAACTCCAGAATACTGGGGATGTAGTGTCTGTAATAATATAGATTTTGTTCAGCATGACACACAAACAGAATCTCTCTGCACTGGAGATGAACAAAAAACAGAAGGCAACAGTAACTGTGGCTACAGGATAATTTGTCTGCAAATCCAGAGACACTAGAATCCATGAATCCATCATTACAAATGTTCTTGCTGTTGACCTGCACAACATGTCTATACACTATACAAATGACCTATTCCATAAACATTCTGGTGTGTTTATGACCAGATATTACACACAGTTTTATTTTGCAATTTATAAGGAACAGATTTAAGAACATTTGCTCACATACACCATTGACAGTCTTTATTCAGAAAACCAATCACCTTGCAAGTCACACTCTCAGTGATCTCAGAGTGCTATTTTGTGACTATTTAGTTACACTTTTTTGTAAGTTAATTTATTAATTAATGTCATTTTAAAAACGACTGTTCGATGCAACTGATTTTATTTTAATACACATTTTTAAAAAGTTGGTTGTGAGAAAATAAATATCTCAAACTTAAAAAAGAGTGAAAACAAAAACGGAAAGAAATAAACCTAAAACTTAAAATAGAATAAATAAATAAATGTAAGCATAAAAACAGCTAATACATTTCTTTATTGTGTAATAGATGCTAGTGGGAAAGCAAAAACCATCTATTTATATTTAACAAACCATCACATAATTAAGTGGACCCTTGTGACTTGGATTTAGAATTTGTATTGTAAGTGGAGTACTACAGATTTTTTCTCTTTGAATTATAAAAGACAATGTATTCTGATGGGAAATTTTTCTGAAAATATTTTGCTTTCAATGATAGAAAAGATGAATTGGCAGGTATTTAAGCTCAATAATAGGTTGGAGGCCTCTCCAAGGTCCTTGTACATTCCCTATATTCTTCATCCATGTGTCTCCCAGAATATTCTTAATTTAGTCTTCTCATCTCACACAGCACTTCCCTCTTGATCTGCCTTTAAAGGTAAAGTTATACTTTTTCAGATCCACAAATAAATTTTATAATACGTTTTATGCATTGACAATTTTTCTTTTTCAGATTCCCTTTTTATACTGTGATAGCATGTGATATAGACAACCCAGCAGGACCAGGTAGTCTACAGTGGGCGTAGAAAGCACTGACCCCCATTGTGCCACATGTTGTTGTGTGGTTAACCATTCTGATTGGACACGTCTGTTTTTCTAAGGTTAAACACTCCTGTGTGAGTTCCCACTGTTGGACATTTCATACAAAATAGCATGAAGACAAAAGACCTTCTGCAACAACAAATGAACAAAGTTGTGGACAGACACCAGCCAAGCGACAAATAAAATCGGATTTCAAAGACACAGAGGATCCCACGGAGCAGTGTTAAATCAATTATCAGGAAGTTGAAGACACATAAAACAGCACAGAATCTTCAACAACCAGGTCGGATTCCCAAACTCAGAAGCTCAGTAAGAAGGGAGCAATCAAGAGACTGAAAATAACCCTCAGAGACATACAGTGTCACATAATTCAGATGGGAGAAACTGTGAGTTTGTCAACAATAGCTCAGATACTCCAGAAATTTGAGCTCTGTGATACAGTGGCTTGTCTTGAATATGCAAGCATGTTGGGGCCTCTGCAATAACATGGAAAAAAATTGTGGTCAGATAAGACAAAAAAGTAAGTTATTTCGCCTAAATGCCAAGTGTTATGTCTAGCAAAATAAGAGCACTGCTCATCATTCACAAGACACCATCCCCACATTGAAGCATGGCAGTGCTTCTTATCTGCAGAGGCTAGTATGCTTGTCAAAATAGAGGAAAGAAAGGATGGATCAACATATAGACAGAACCTGGAGCAGAACTTGAAATAGTCTGGAAATAACTGAAACTGATATATACTGTAAATCTCTATCCCAACAGGACAATGACTCCAAAGATAAAACAACCCTTGAGTGGCTAAAAAAGGTAAAAATCTTTGAGTGGTCCAGTCAAAGTCCAGACTTAAATTCCATCTTACATCTGTTGCAGGAACTGAAGATTACTGTACACCACCACTCCCCCAGTAACCTGCGACAGCTGGAACAATTTTGCAAGGAAGAGTGGCCAATATTAAACCTGAAAAATGTGAAAAGCTGGTTACAACATACAATAAGCTATTATCGCTGCAAAAGGGGGAGCAAATAAATATTTAGTGCTTAAGATCTAAGGAGAGTGAATACTTGTCAAAGCTGGATGTTTCAGTTTTCCGTTTCAATTAATTATTGTACAACAAAAATAATCATGCCCCATCAAAATGTTAAGCATGTACAAAAACAAACATCCTGTTCAAATGCGTTGCAATTTCAGGTTGTAACACAGCAAAATGTGGTTCAGGTCCAAAGAAGGTCAATACCGTCTACACCCACTGTATATTGAGGAAAGAGATCTTTCCATCACCACCTCAACCTCTTCACATCTGTCTTGTTAAATGAGCAATACAGCTTGTAACCCAAATTAGTCTGACCAAAATATTTTTTAGCATACAAACAAATGGCGTGGTTTCACAAATTGTACTAGAAATATATATAAAAGAGAAAAGAAGTAACTGTCATTTTTTTATCTTAGCAGTCAATGAAAAAAAAAATCTATAAAGGAAGTCTTGGACTCATGCTAGGTTTCAGTTCTTTTTTTGTAATAAAAGAAAAAAATAAGACAGTGAAAGGGGAGTAACTAAGAGTGGGGAAATATTGATTTGTTTCCTCAGCCCTGCACAGCCAACACTTTTGATTAATAATCTACGAAGAATGTGTTTTGTAGAAAGACAACTGTGACACTCACAGAATGCACAAGTGCTGTGTGCTGCATCTAGCAAAATGAACTGAACCTGTTAGACTTTCAAACAGAATAAGAAAACACTTTCACTGGAGGGAAAAACTCTGATTTCACCGATGATCTGCTTCAATTTCCCTGGCTTCTGTGCTTTAAAAACTGCCAGATTTTATGCATATTCAGACTTTCTGCCGAGATATTTCTAATTCCCTAAAGCAAGGGCAATGATACTGGCCTTTTCAATCAATTCCATTTGCTCTGTCTAGATCAGTAATTATTAAATTAGTAGCCAGAAAAATCAATATTACGATTAAGGTGCTGGTTGAAGCTTAATATTGCAATGCAACGAACTGAAAGAACCAAATGTTGAGAAGGACTGGCCTAATGAATTGATTCAGATCCTTAAAATATACATTTTAGTTATATAATACTTTGCTAGGATGAGCAAATTAAATGAACTAAATTCTACATCTTACAAGGAGACGGACAGCATTGCTTCACTTTGTATCCTCTCTGTAAGGATACTTTTCACTCATGTTGATTTATAATTATACAACCAGCAGTAAGCTGTTATAATGTTATAATTCCTTTTATTGATAATGTCTAAATTATTAAATTAACATGTCTCCCACTAACTACATTAAACTACAATAACATATCAGTTTTTGGTTGTTCTTCTGTTCTGCCTTGTGGGTAGAAATTAAACTTTGTTATTAAAAGATATAAACACAAAATAGAGGTATGTTTATTACATTGTAGTTACTGTACATTGCAATTACAGTATAATAAATGTGTAATTCCAAAAGGGTTTCTTATAGATAGGGTAAAATTCTGTTTTCAGAATGGCAGTTAACTTTGGTAATAGGTCATCTACATACCTTTTTTCTAGATTTTTTGTTTGCTCTGCATTTTTTATAAATTCTGTGACCATTCCTGGACTTACTGCCCCAGTGGTTTAGTCAAAACCCCATTTTACCTTGCAAAACTTGCATTTTCTGGTTAACAAATACAATTGTACATCATTTCATAACATGACAAATTATTGATGGCAGTGGCACAGATGTCACAGTGAGTATTTGTTTCAATGTAAAAACGTAGGTTTATCCTTGACATTCACAATGCTAGGTTCCATGGTACTGCACTGAATTGTGCACCAATATGCTTCTTCTATTATTGTGGTATAGTTTGATATTAACTTATCGAAGACAAGAAAATAATTAAAGGAGTTATATAATAGACCACAAACACTGTGGTGATATTTTTGAATGAAAACAACTGCCTTACCTGTTTCTCCCCAGACAGGGAGATATTCATCTTGTTGTATATCCAACATGATCTCTAAGCCATTCCCAGTGCCTCCTTTCACTGTTGTGTGCAATGCCTTTCCATCTTCTCCAGAGTTGAACATGTAGCATTTCCCATACCTTGTAAAAACCTGAAAAGAAACAGAAGATCATCAGACGTATACTGTACAGTGAAAAAAAACCCAACAGACTGATAGTTTTGTGGATTTTTGTGTGCTGTGTCAAACTGAAAGAATTCTGCCTGTGGAGATGTACTGTAGAAGGTGACACTTTAGGGGTCACATGTATTAAAACTCTTGAACAGTTGATACCAAAAATAAGGGTGACTTCAGCTGTTATTTCAAAAACAGATGAGACTATATAACAAAGTAGGTACAAGTTAACTTTGAAAAGTTTTTTTTTTTTTTAGAACTTGGAATGGGTAACATTTTTGTTTTTTTGCGCCAAAAAGAGACCATGTTACATTGCCTGCTCAGAGTTCAGTCCTATAAGACTTCAATCACACAAGATATTTCCTGTGATGAAACGGAAGGACACATCAGGAGGCAATTTCAATTTGTAATGAAAGCACAGGAGGAAAAAGATAGTAAGTGACATGGATGCACAGTAGGCAGAATTGCTGTCTTACACTTCTGCAGCAACGGGTTCATTCCAGACTTGGGGTGCTGTTTGTGTGCGTTTGCTCTAGGTGCTCCAATTTTTTCCCCCACAGAGCAGATACATACTGGTACTGTAGGTTAAAAGGCTTCTGGAAAAGTTGACCCTGGTGTGATCGCTTGTTTATCTGTGTTTGTGTGTGCTCTGCAATGGACTGGTGTTCCATCCAGGGTGTACCCTT